TGAGAAGCCAGCACCTAGCTCACATACCAGTCTGAGAACAGCATACCAGGTAGATTTGGTCCCCTCCAGCCATCCTGCATATTTGTTGTAAAACTTTACAGATAAATACTGAATCATGTCATTTGTTCCAGATGCATGTGTATGTATATGAAGGACAGAACAGTCTTGAAACTTAGGTGAATCAACATTTTTATTTTTACACCATAATCCAATTTTAGTTTTCCTTAATGAAATCTGGAAATTTTTATTTTTCAACCACATTAAATTTACAAAAAAGCCCTCCCATATTACCCTAAAACATTCCTCATATTTTATTTCCAGTGCTCAGATATTTAGTGAATAAAACCATTTTAATGGATCTCTTTAATTAACTCCTTCAAATACACATTACCTAAAACCTGCCGAGGTCAAAAAAGGTTGATCCTGCAGTCACCTAAGCAGACTCTGCCAAACTACTCCACATTCAGAGTAATTTAATGTTTTCCAGAGTAAAAAGGTAATGTTATAGAAATACTGCTCAGCCTTTCCCACTGAGCCAACTTGTGCCAAGTCCACCATTAAAATTCTTCTTCAGCCTGTTTGCTGCGGGACTGCTTGAGCTGCTGCAGCCGCTCGATGCTTTCAGAAATAGTACGTTCCCCATGGACCTTATTGTCTCTTGTACGGATATTAACAGTGCCACTGGCTTTTTCTTTTTCACCAACAACTAAAACAAAGGACACAACACTTTGTTAGACTTAATTTAAAGATATGGAAGCGCTCGATTTGAACACTTGAACACAAATTGTTCTAGTACCCAAAAGCTACCTTGAACCTTCTGATACATTAAAATGCACAAATGACTATGTATATAGTTGGGCAACTGATTTAATAATCTATTCATTTAAAAAAAAATTACTACTTTGGATACCTAAAACTACTATGTTTATTGAATCACTTAACCTTGCCAACTTAATAACAACTTATTATATAAAAAAAATGAGGTGAAGGTGAGAAAATTTTTAAGCAAACCCTTAAAGATTTTCTTTTTAGACCAAAAATTTCCTTTGTTATATCAATTGAAGAAATTTAATAGTTTAAGAATCAGGACTGGAAGGAACTAAATAGACTCTTGACCACAATCCACATAATCCCAAAGCTCAAGATTTCAGCAGATTTTCCCAAGGTTTGGCAAATTCTCTTTGGTGAGTTTCCTTTCTTACCCAGGATGAAGTTATATTGTGATAACTGTGCATTTCTGATCTTCTTATTCAATGTACAGCCTGGATCCAGATCAATGTCTGCCATGAATCTAGCATCATGGAATTGTTGTTGTACCTATTTAAACAGAGTTACAGAATTCGTTAAATCTAAAATGAGAATTATATTTTGATCTTAAATGATTTTGTTTATTTATTTATTTACTTGGGGAGGTGCATCATGGAATTGTTGTTGTACCTATTTAAACAGAGTTACAGAATTCGTTAAATCTAAAATAAGAATTATATTTTGATCTTAAATGATTTTGTTTATTTATTTATTTACTTGGGGAGGTGGCTAACCTTGGTGTTATCAGCTTTAAATGATTTTATTTAAAATAGGATTTGGATAACCGTACTAGTAGTAAAAAAGGAATGCTAACAGATATATTCAAGTACATATTACTAATATGTGACTTGGGTCTATATTTTAAAAAATCAAAACAACAAATTTTGTTCTTGAAAGACAACTGTTTTAGAAAATCCTTAAAAATCAGAAATTCAAGCAATCGACTAAATTTAATCAGCTCTCTTAAAACATACATTACAAAAGGGGAAAAAAATCCCTTTGCTAACATATCTCAATATGTTTGAAATATGTCTGAAATAGTTGCCAGGAAATAGTTTCTCAGCCTTTATATAACATTCAGTGATGGATTTTCCAGTCTAACAGAGAATACACTTCTGATCCCACAAATAGGCAGCAAGTTAGTAACAGGAATCCACCCATTGCTGCCATTTATGTGTGCAGTATTTTTTAAAATAAAACATAGATAGCACAAACAATAGGCTAAAATCATCCCAACAGCTTCTTTTCTGTTCCCAGAGAACAAAATATAAACTGCCATATAAAATTTCTCTTAGGGCTGGACTGTTGCTCACTTGGGAGAGCGTGGTGCTGACCACACCAAGTCAAGAGTTAAGATCCCCTTACTGGTCATCTTTAAAAATAAATAAATAAAATAAAATAAAATAAAAATTTTCTTAACACTAATTAACTGTGTATACAATGACCTAACTATATTGAACTCTACAAGAATAACTTAAATAAAACAAAATATCAGGTTTGAGAAGTATTAAAAAGTAATTTTTTTCTTTCTGGAGACTGATTTCCTTTTTGATTAAAATAAAGCTTATTAATTGAAAGAGGCAGATGAGGAGGTTATAGCCAAAGATTAAATCAGGATTTCCTGAAATAAACTTCCAGAAATTTAAGTTGACAAAACTGTTAGATCTTATTATTCATGGCCTTTTTTCCTCTCAAAAATGCCATTTCCACTTTACTGCTTTAGGTCTATGTATTTTGAGTAAACAATGCTTTCAGAATCTTCCCTTTCCAAAAAAGCAATACAATAGAATAAATTTTATTAATTTTAAATTAAATAGATGGTTAAATTTTCCGTCCACTTGATAGCCAATTACCATTAACATAACAAAAAGATCTAAATAAGTCATTTTAATTTCAAATGCAGAAATGCATTCTCAGACTGCAGAAATGAAAAACATGTGATCCACACTTCAAAGAAACGATTTTCTTTTCTTTTTTTTTTTTTTTTTTAAAGATGACCAGTAAGGTGATCTTAACCCTTGACTTGGTGTTGTCAGCATCACGCTCTCCCGAGTGAGCCACAGGCCGGCCCCTCAAAGAAACGATTTTCAATTGAATAAATATTAATTTCCAAGCATCAGAAAGTTGTCTTTTATCGGATTCCCTAACTTTAAAATGGAATAATAAAGATTTAATAGTCTAAAGGAAATTTATCACATTGCTTCACCTGACTAGGTAACCCTTGACTTGGTGTTGTCAGCACCACGCTCTCCTGAGTGAGCCACAGGCCGGCCCCTCAAAGAAACGATTTTCAATTGAATAAATATTAATTTCCAAGCATCAGAAAGTTGTCTTTTATCGGATTCCCTTAACTTTAAAATGGAATAATAAAGATTTAATAGTCTAAAGGAAATTTATCACACTGCTTCACCTGACTATCAAGCATCAGAAAGTTGTCTTTTATCGGATTCCCTTAACTTTAAAATGGAATAATAAAGATTTAATAGTCTAAAGGAAATTTATCACATTGCTTCACCTGACTAGGTTTAAAATAAAAAAGTAATTTAGAGTAGAACAAATTAATAATGAATGAACATGAAAAAATATATTGCTATTCCTAAACAACCTGCTCTGAGAGTTTGGTATTTTGCATTTAAATCACCCCACACCTGGTTCAAAAAAGTCTCTTTACAGTGGCCACTAATCCAAAGGAGGGGCAAGGAAAGTTGGAAGCCAGTGTTCCTTCCTCACCTTTGCCATGGAGGCAGTACCCCTGGCTCTCACTCAAAGCCATGGACAGTGACTGGTATACTCTTTTTGCAGACGCAGAAGTTACTAAGCAGAATCACCATCACAATTCCACCCAGACCACTAAGGAGAAGGGCAAGAGTTTCTGGAAGTCCTGATCAGAATGCAGAATCAATTTTTCCATGGATGTATCTTAAGTACAGCTGAAGGTGAAACAGTAACTATCAGTCCTCTACTTAAGAACCACCAGTAAAATTAGCTTTCTTGAAGTGACCTAGGTACCCAATTATTTCTTTCAACTTTCTATGGAAAAATATTCCAAATGACTTATAAACCACTAATTTTTGAAATGCCGGTTTAGGGCTATCTATGTATGCCAAATGTTTATGTCCATGAGGAATATATTTTTGAAACAACATTAAGTGACCTTTACCTATACAATAGACTCCTTATCTGCAGTCTGAAAATATTACATACAATAAGATATTTTGAGAAAGAGACCACATTCACATAACTTTTATTATAGTATATTATTATAATGGTTCTATTTTATTATTAGTTATGGCTGTTAATCTTTTACTATGCCTAACTTATAAATTAAACTTTATCATAGGGATGTATGTATAGGAAAAAACAGTCATTTGCTGCATAAAAACATTTCGGTCAACGATGGACCATATATATACAACAGTGGTCAGAGCAATAAGCTCTACCATATAGCCTAGATGTGTAGTAGACTTGAACCTTGACCTTGGAGTTATCAGCACCATGCTCTAACCAAGTGTGTTCAGCCTTTATGGTGTGAAGTATAAATGGCTATTTGTATATTTGTTAGTAAGTTAGTTTTTTGCCAGGAGGGACAAGACTTTAATGTCTGCCATGTCACTAACCTGAAAAAAAGTTTCAAACAACTAAAATTTGCATTAAAAATGAAGTAAAATTACTTTTAGTAATTTTCAAAGAGGAGTTTAAACCGTATTCTGCATTTTAATTTACATATCATACTGAGGTACTCAATATATGCCATTTGTCTTTTTTAAATACTAAACACTAAAATATGCAAGTGTATACACAAAACACAATCTGAACATGTCATCTGATCATGGAACTACACAGAAAAACATTAAAGAGGTAATATAATCTATTCAGGCTTATCACAGATTAAAAAGAGTAACATCTCTATACCACAAGCAGCTTAATTTACCAAGAATATACAGCTTATGAGATTTGAAAAGCTTAACAACAGATATTAAATTTAAAGAAAAGTCATATGTATGGATTACCTTTTGGGCATATTCGTCACATGTTGGTCCCACTGGAACTACCATTACCTGGCGAGGAGACAGCCAGAAAGGCCTTTAGGAGAAAATAAAAATATTTAATGTGGATTTGGGCACATTCACTAAACAAGAACAGCACATTCCGTAGTCTATTCTCCCTTCAGTATCTTTCCCTGAAACATGTAAGGGCTACTTTTAAAACTTGGCTTTTTTCTTGTTCTTTTTTAACTATCCAATAAAGATTAAGGGGAGGAGACTCAGAGGAAGAAAACTAACACTAAATAAGAAAAATTTGGAACTAAGATTTGTCTTGCTAAGCAGATAGCAAAGCAAATTGAGGATAGGGACCAGGCCTCACACGTAACACAAAAAATAAAAACAACCATGTATTGGCTGTGAGAGTAGTTAACAAACTGCCAAATAACTGCACACAGTGATGAACAGTTCAAGATTATTTTATTAGCTATTCTTCATAAGAGACATAGACAGTGCCTTCAGTTTATTCAAGATCCGTTTTGCAGGGTTTAGCAAATTGTAATTGATAATAACTGAGGATGATGGCTCTTGGTAAAAATGAGTTTTCACTGCTTAAAATAACCCCATCTGCAACTCTCCCCTTGGAGCATTTCCGGTGTCAAACCCTCCTGATGCTGCAAACATGAGGCCAATGTTTCTCTCCATCACTCCTCTATTTTCAGTTGTGTTGTGACATCAGGCAAAAGGCTAGAGTAGACATTAAATTCTACCCTAATTGTGAGCTTTTTCTCACCAGCCATAGGTTTGGCAGAGCAATTAGCTGAGAATTCCCCTAATTCTCTGGATGCCATGTAGAGAATACTTCCCATGTTTTATTTGGTTTTGTAAAATGTAACTGAAAAGAAATTATCTTATTTCATTGACAAGTATGGAAAATTCCCCTTAATGTCTGAACTAACCAAATTCAAATAAAACTGAAATGATAACATTAAACTGATTTATAAAATTTTACAAAAGTTTTACATCAGTATAATTAATACGGCTGATTCTACAACTGGGTGTTTTATAACCCTGTGCTGCTTTCAACTGCATGTGGAATCAGATAAAACTGCTTAAAAAATAAAATGGAAGTCACATTCACATGCTCATATCTTGCCAACAAAAACAAAACCTTATAGAAACAAGTCACAAAATGTTCATCAGTCTGGCATCTGCTTAATTTTTTCAATTAAAAAATGCTTTGGGGGCTGGTCGGTTGCTCAGTTGGTTAGAGTGCAGCCTTATACGACCACGGTCAGGGGTTCGGATCCTCGTACTGGCCAGCCACCCAAAAACAAACAAATGAAAAAACAAAAACAAAATGCTTGTCTTCCAAAAGACATCAAAATACTTGATTATGATCAGCAAGGCTGAACAAGGTAAGCCAAAAGCATACTCATTTAACTTGGGCAACCAAAGCCATATAAATCTAAAACAAAGTTAAGTTACTTGAAAAGCAATCAAAACAACAAATATGCTACTTGCTGAATAACAATTCTTAATTAGAAAGTATTACATAACATTCAAACAAATCAAGTTCTGAAATAAAAATAATTTCTAATAACAAGTATTCTTAATGCTAACAAATTTGGGTTTAGATTGTAATTCCTTACTTTTTAGAGAACACTTGTCAGCAGTTACAAGTCATCAATTGAAATCATTCTCCCTTTCCATCTCACAACTAAATCGGAAAGTAGAAATTTCTTCTATATCAATAAGACAAAAAAAGAAAGAAAACAATAACAAAAATTACCATTTGCCTCCATAGTTTTCGGTGAGGATAGCGATCATTCTTTCCACTGACCCCAAGATGGCTCGATGAACAATCACTGGCCTTTTCTTATCATCACCATCATGGCTATAAAGAAAAATAATTTGTTTTGCCTTATTATATATGTTTTCCCTTACATATCTCTGGAGAAGCATATTCATGGCAGACACTAGAAACTCACCTTACAAAAGTAAGATTAAATCTGATGGGCAACTGAAAATCCAGCTGGATTGTTGCACACTGGTGGTACCGACCAATTGCATCTTTAATTTGTATGTCAATCTAAGAAACAAAGACTGGGTTATCATAAGATTCTGTCAATAGTAAAGCTGAGCTCAATAGTTGGGTCAGGGCTGATGGCTGGTCCTCCTCCTTTTCAACTTATTTTTTTGTTTATTTAGGCAGCTGACTGTTACAGGGATCTGAACCCTTGACTTTGGTTTTAGCAGCACTGCACTCTATCAACTTATTTTAAAGTAACTTCTTCTTTACCCACGAATGAAAATCACATTACCCAAATATACTTTGGTACTGACCTTTGGACCATAGAAAGCTCCATCTCCAGGATTTAACTCCCATTTTTCACCAAATTCATTCAGACTGTTTTCAAGTTGCTAGGGATAAAGGAAAATTATTATTATTATTATTATTTTTTGGTGACTGGCCGGTACATGGATCTGAACCATTGATGTTACTGTTATAACACAGTGCTCTAACCAACTAAGCTAACTGGCCCACCTTTGCAGAATTACTTTTATTTTTGTTCACATGCAATTTCCCTTCTTCCAGCCTCATTTGAGACTAAAAATACCGTAATTACTTTCATGAATCACTCTTTTCTGCTTTATAATTTTGCCCGCCTAAACATATTCTCCCTCAACCCCCTTTTAAAGTTTACAGCTTGATAACTGAAAAAACATTAAAACATTCAACCAGTTTTTGGGGTTTTTTTGGGCAGGGGGCGGGGGCTGTCCGGTACAGCCCTCAACCATTTCTAAAATACAAAATCATAAAACTAGCTTAGTCAGACCTAAAAACCATTTCCAATTTTCTTTTGCTTTTATCCATTAAAAGAGGCTTGGCTTTCTTACATTGCGAAACAAGCCAATTTCCATCAAATGTACTCAAGCATGCTGAAAAACACCACTTACTTTCTCAGCTTGATTCCATACTTCAATATCTCCAAGGAATTTTTCTGGGCGAGTAGAAAGGTTCAATTTAAAAGAAAATCCAAATACGCTATATACTGTACGTAGAAAATCCAAGCAACCTTTTATTTCATCCTCTATCTTTAAATTAAAAAAAGGAAACAAGTTATTTTCTTTTACTTTCTTGACACTTCTTTCGAAGTATTTTATTCCAGTGTTTCATACCTGCTCCATGGCACAGAATATGTGAGCATCATCTTGCTGGAATCTTCGTACCCGGGTTAATCCTGTGAGTGCTCCTGACAGCTCATTCCTATGAAGTACCCCGAAGTCAGCTATCCGCAGAGGCAACTCTCGCCAGGATCTTGGCCGATGATCAAACATAAGGCTGAAGGAAAAAGAAAAGTAAATCCACTGATATTTAATTTTGCAAGACAAAACTGCTCCTCTAATAATATACTTAATTACATAAAAGGCTGTCAAAAGGTCACTTAGATTCTAGTTGTCCATACAAACAACATTTCTCAAATTCTGGGCTTCATATACCAATAGCACTTGTATGAATAAAACAGCAAGTAAATTATAAAACAACCAACTATAGCTAAGAGAGAATAAAAAACTATATTCCCATAAGCCTATAGATCTGGGGATCTAAACAGGCATGGAAGATATTATAATATGACAACGTTGCATTTAAATACTCTTCTGATTACATAATTTGTTCTTAACCAAAATTCTTTTGAAGGAGGGAAAGCAAACTAGGACTAATTGTAGCACATGAAAATGTTCAACAGAAACTCAAGGCTGCTGAATACCAGTGTCCTGGGCAGTTCATTGGCTTAAGAGCAAAGAGCTCTTTCTCCACCTCAAAGGAAAACATGTTCTCGCTATAGTGCTGCCAGTGGCCTGAGGTCATCCACAGTCGGCTGTTGTAGATGTTTGGGGTGACTACCTCCTGGAATCCTCTCTTCCTATATTCACTCTATTAGAAAACAAATTGAATACATGTAGGCAAATCAATGCTCACACTTATCGTGGAAGTAAAAATTTAAAGAGCAATTTTATACTTTCTAGTGAAGTTCAAGATACATATTACGGTATAACCTATAAATCCCACTTGTAGGTATATACTGAAAAGGAAACTCTTATATAAAGGTGGCTTATAAAAATGATGCTACTATAGCAGGTTTGAAATAAGGGAAAATTAAAATTTACATCAGTATCCATCAATAAAGGAATGAGATGTTGCAATAGTTATATAATGGAATAATATGTAACAAGTAAAAATAAACAAGCTGGATTTGTATGTATCTAAAAAAAAAATCACAATGCAGACTGATATACAATGACTCTTCACATATGTAAATTTGAAAAACACACAAACACATAAAGAATTTAAAGGTATGTATATATGGGCTACATGTAAATAATATAGACAAAAAGGATCCCTGCCAACTTCAAAACAGTGGTTTCTTCTAGGAAAGGAGGGAAAATGATCAGAAAGGGTCCCATAGAAGGGCTTTTTAAAAAAAACTATATGTACATTTTCTACATTTTTTACAAAAAATCTGAAGCAGATATAGCCCAATGTAAACATTTATTAAACTTGGGTGGCAAGTACACACGATATCAGTTATACTATTCTCTATAAGCTCATGCTTGAAACATTTCATAAT